AATGAGAGTTACGTTTGAAATTGCTCTACAAATTGTAAGCATATTAATGTTATCGAACAGCAAACAAATATCCGTCATTGCTTCTGTGAGACAAACTAACTAGCAGTGGCTATTTTTTGCGTGCCAATTTGAAATTATGTTATCACGCACTGATTTATAAATAATAAATAACAAACTTATTACTGCATCAGAGACAAGTAAGCTCAGGCGTACAAGTGAGGCTCAAACCAAGCAGTAATCTGTTTCGTATTAAGTCTAAGCATAATTTCATTTTGCTTGCTATTGATATATGCATTTCTGTTGATTGTCCGTATATCCAAGACTGCTATACTTCTACTTGCTGCTAGTTGCTCTTCTTGCTTCTAAAAAGTAAAATGCTTCATTTTCAGCAGCATAATTCAAGTAATAACTTAGCTTGAGATCCACTCGCCACAGATAATAAACAAATTGCGCCATTTCACTCTCTTTTACTATTTTTCCAACTTTATTTATTTTATCGTTTGTAATTATTTTCATTCTACCGAATTATTTTCTCAATTTGACTTTTGTCTTTGTCGTAATATAATACTGACAATATCAATTAAAATTATAGTGCTGGTAATAATAATAATAATAATAATTGTGATAATGATAATGATAATAATAATGATCATTATTGGAAGAGGCTATAAAAAAGTTAAATCGAATTTTTCTCTTGAGAATAATTTTCAATAATGCAAGCTTGTATATGCATAGGCGATGTTGCATGGAATATGTTTCACCTTATTTTCTCTTTGAAAAAACTTTTCAAAAAGTTGCCTTATTCAAATTTCGTGCTAATTTGAGAAGCGATTTAAGATGGTAATTTTTTCTATATTCTGTACATTATTAAATGCATTATTGTTAATTATTCGTTTAAGTTCCAATTTAAGTACAAATTTGAATTCCGCTTAAATATTTGAATTAAAGCACAGAAAAATTTGTTTTCAATAGATTGGCAGGAAGGCAAACAGGCGGCGTCAATTGCAGTAATCATTCTCAATTATTATATTTTAAGCCCTAAAGACATGGCTAAGTTAGTTACTTATCCATTTTTTGTCTTATTTTGCTTTCAAGCTGCTTGTGTTGTGATTTTGAAAAGTAGCACATAAGAGGTAGGAAGGCTATCTCCCTCAGGTCAAGTGCTTCTCATTTCGATTATAGAAATATATTCTCCGATTGGCTTCAAATTTTTGGCCATTTCATTTAGAATATTTGAGTGGAATTCAATAAACTGGAATTTATTGCACAAATACAAAATAGAAATAAGGATAGGTAGGGAAAGAAGTATTCCATATTGAGTTTCGTTCTTGAATTCTCGTAACTAAATTGAAAACTTTCGTGCTAATAATTATTTCAGTAAACTTCAAAGACGTAAGATACGTAAGAGATTTTATGTTTTATTACGATACTTTCATACGTTTCCACGTGCAGAATTTTAATCTCGCGATGTTTCATGCGCAACAAATTTAATCTGAGAAAAAACTTTTTGAGCAAAAATTTCACTTTAATAAATTTTTCTGCACGGAATATAAAGTTTCTAGAATCGGAGATACTTTGACGTTGTTGATAAACTTTGCTTCTTTTATGAAGTTCAACTTCTAAAGGTCTGTCTTTAATTTTTTTTCATTCTTTCATACGTTTAAAAAAAACTGTACTCTTATGATTTTTAGCCAAAATGAGCTTGCTTTTACTTATACAGAGGACTAACAGTACTTCTAAAATTAATTATATAATTATTTATATATCAGATAAGGATAAATACTGTAATCCATTTTAAAATACCATGCGAAGTGCAACAAAATTATTTCTACATAACACACTTTTACTTGTGGATTTGATTTGCTGAAAAATTACACCCAAAAATCATTAGCGCCACTTCCTTAATTTTCAGTGACTACTGCTCAATTCGGAATCTAAGTTTCTTATTTGCTTCGAAATGTGACTTCAATTTCAGCTTTTTTGCCTTTGCCAAATGCCAAATTCTCGCTTTCTTCAATTTTATTAGTAATGATTTTTTTCTTTTTGCATTCCCTTTAAGGCACACTAAGTAATCTTAATAAAAAAGAGAATTCGCTATTTGTTAAGTGACATTTAACAACTTTTCATACTATATTTTTTCGATAAAATATCTAAAATTACAAAATTGACATTTTTTTAAAGTATTTGCGCGCTTAGCCAAATTTAAATTTCACGTATTACTTGGCAAATGTCTAAAAATTGAATTCAAAATTTTTATTTCGTTGCAAGTTGAGAATTGCTGTGATCGATGTTCGAATGGTAAGCACTTCATCTATTGAAAGAAAGATTACAAATTTGAAAACATTTCATATTTTCTGCATTTTTTTTTTCAAATGAATAATTGTACTGAGAAGATCAAATTTTTATTCGCATACTTTATGAGAACATCATTTTCAAAGACAAAATCAACGAGTTTTATTCACATTTGCACTACAAATTTCTGAAAGGTTTTGTATTGTTTTTACAAAGTGAATTTGCTCGCTAGTTTGTATGTCAAACTGATTTTTCAATTACTTTAATTTTTATAATTTATTTCAAATGTTTCAAATCTTCAAATGTTAAATTGCTTGTGCGAAAGCTAAGCTATTTATTTACTTGTTGAAGTGATTTCCATTATTCTTCTAATTTCACTTTTAGATTAAAGCCATACTTTCTTATTAATATTTTATACGTATTTAGCAAAATTAGTTAATTAGAAATTTTAATAATCGCTTTTGTATTTGCGTATGCAATTGCTTGAAAAATTTGTTTAAGCCTCTGTACAAATTTGAATTATTATTGTTCTCGAAAATTTAACATATATTATTTGCAGCGATAAAATTTAATTTTCTGTAGTACATTTAATGAAATTGAATAAATAATTGAATAAAAATTAGTTATATATCATAAAAGCCGCAAGAAAGGATATTACAGAATTTTGCGATAAGTATTAGTAATTTCAGCAGACTGCAAAGCTAATTTAATTTCTTTATAAACGCTATTGCTTTAAAATTTTTGGCTCTTTCTTGAAATTATTTTTTAAATTTTTTGAAAATAACCAGTATTTTTGAGCGATTTTATTTCGTGATATTAAATATTAAATAAAAGTAATTAGAGATATTATAAAAAATGAAATAAAATATTTAATGAGAGTGATTTTCGAGTTCTTTTCAACTTTGGTTCGAAAATTATTTCAGTTAAAGTTTTTTAAAAAGCTCAAAAAAAATTGCAAAAATATTGCTGCAAAAGTAAAAACGAATTTAATGTAAATAATTAAATTCAGTACTTGAATGGTAATTGTTTACTGACTTATATACAAGTCAACGAATAACTTTGATGCATTTTTTCACTCTAAACTTCAATAATTGAAATCAACTTTTCCATCTCTTTGGAAAGCTAAATAATTTTCGCACGATAAATTAGTCTACTTTTATTCTGTTTACCTACTCTATAACAGTGCAGGATCAAGAACGACTAATATAGAATATATAATAATTGAAGCTATTATAGTATTCCAGCTTATTACTTTCTGCTTCTGTCTTCTGATGCAAATTATTTTAATGAAACTTCAGTATTAAGGATTAAGGATTCACAAGATGAATCTGAATTTTGTTAAAAGTAACTCGCGCAAACTTTGAGTTTAATTTGAATTGCAAAATAAAAACTAACTGGAAGATTAAAATGAAAGTAGAAGTGAGCAAGATTCGAAAGCAAGTAGTATTGTTGAGTGATAAAACTTTAATATTAAACAACCATTAATTTTTGCTTTATTCTCTTTTCACTTCTCTCAGTTAATAAGGTACTATTGTAGAGTGCATGAAATGCTTAAGTATTGATGAAATTAAATTAGATAAAAGTTTTAATAAAAGTGAAGCAAAATAAAACTTTTATTATTAGACTAATTTAGTTCAAGATTTGTTTCGGAATTTGCTGTTGTATTTCAGTTTTCATCTAGTATAAATAAATAAATAAGAAGAATCTTCACAACAAATAGCAATGCCAAAATCCTAAGCTTATCAAAAGTAAATGCTAGCAGCAACTGAGAACTTGCAATACAAAATTATTCAAAAAGCATTTTGTCGTTCCTTTTTTCTAAGACGTAAGTATCACTTTTAATTATAATTAAGCGTGTTTGGTGGCAAAAATATTTTCTAAGTTTTTTAGCAAATAAATTCTTTGTTTTTTTAATATTTTAGAAGTTGCAAAAAGTCTGAAAATTAAAAAATGCGATTGAGAGAATTTCTGTGTGCAAAAATCAGTAATATATTCAAGCAGATATAGGGGTTGATACAGGGTAATCAGTCAGTCATTCATTCATTAACGTAATCTAATCAACGCGAATTCTTGCTGAAATTCAATTATGGAAACGACTGCCTGCGTGACCACTCGACAAATTTAATCATATGTCAGCCGGGAACTACTAACTTTTTTGCTTCAAATTTGTTGCCAGAAAGCAGCACAAATTCCAGCACTGAATTTATTGAAGACTCTGTGTTTTCTCGAAAAATTTAGCTGAAATTTTATGCTATTCACAAAAATCAAATCATCAAAATTTCCCTTTATCACATCAGATTTTTTTCTCAGCAAAAGTTATTTTTAATTAAAATACAGCACTTGAAGTCAGAAGTCAGAAGTCAGCTTTCTTTTTTAAGTTGGATACTCTTCAGTTTTTATTTGCGTTTATTTTAAATCCTTTCGGAAAATCAATACTGCAATATTATATAACTAAAAAAAGTGAAAAATTTTGAAAATACAAGAATGCAGTAATTTTTTAAATTTGCAAGGACTTAATCATAGACATAAATTAATTTTGACTCAAATTTGTCCTGTTAATTTGAATTTCATCGATGAATAAATATGACGATAGCAGTAGAAAGTATGAATACTTAATTTGATTCTAAAAAAATGCGACGATAAAAAATTGCAGACAGAATTCTATCTGTAATTTATCGTCGTTTAGTGCAAACAAGCTGAAGTAAGTAATGAATCTTTATTTGCAGGTGCACAGTCTGCTAAATCTCATCGGTTATCGTGAAGACATTTATTACATTTTTGGTTTATTCTGCTTAATTTCATGGTTTATTTTCAATGTTTGGATATTGCGTGATTATTTCTTTCCGTGGTGGTTTGAACCGATTTATACGGAGAAAGGCTTGAATAAAGTTGATTTAGAGCACAAGAAGATTGAATTCCTTCTTCGTCAACGCATAAACAATGCATTTGCGATTTCGATATCAGTTGCAGCACCAAGTACAATACGAAATTCGCTAGGATTTACGCCTCAATTAAATACAGCAATTTTAGCAGATCTTAATAATTCACCTCATATTCAACAGCAATCACAAATTTTAAATCCTGTTACTTTGTCTATGCTTGAACAGACTGTTTAAAGTTCATAAGTGCAAATGTTAAATTTTTTCATACGTTTGTTTTTAATTTAAAATGTTAAATTGTTTTCATACAGTTGTTTTTTATTCATTCGATTGTAATTTGAATCATAACAATGTCCAATTCTTTATCAATTACACCTCAATGATATCATTAATTTGTTATTTTATTTTTTTTACAAGTGAATAAATCGAAAATGGACATAAATTGTAGCAAAATAAGTTTTGACGTTGAATTTTATCACTAATTCAGTATGCGCTGCTTAATTCAGATGATATTTCAATTTTATTACAAATAATTTCATGAAGTAAAAAGCTCTCGTAAGCTTTTAAATATAATATAACGAATTTCTTCTTTAATCTAAAGTTTATTAGAATCTTATCATCTGAGAAATAATCAAATTTGCCATTAATTTTCCAAGTTTATGAAATGATTTGCATTGCATACTTATATTTACTTATCGCATGTTTGTGCTTTCAATTACAAACATGCGATAAGAATTAGGGACATTATTACTGCTTTCAGATAAAATTCCAATGTATTGGACTTCAATGTAACGAAATAACAACAGCTGATATAGAATTCTGTAATATAATATACCAGAATGACAGATCATCTCGTAAGCTTTGAAAGTAAAATTACGTAAATGAGCTACGTAATAACAATAATAGTGCAAAGAGACAACACAGATTATACTTATAATCTGTGTTTTTTCTTTTCAGATTATACTTGAGAAAGTATTCACGTGTCTTCTCTACACTGCTATGGTAGAATAACGAATTAAGACTCATGTAATGAATATTCAGTTTAGACAATTTTAAACATATTAAATTTTTTCACAAATTTAATATTTCAAAAAGAAAATTAATAAAGCTATTCATTGTTGTTATTTGCATTGGAAGCAAAAATTGCAGCGAGTATAAGATAATTGGAATTACGGTATTTCCGATTGACAGTATTCAAGAATTTTGTAATTAAAAAGTATTATTACTAATCGTACAACGAAGCAAAGAATTTCTGTCTTGATATTAACGACTAGCTTTGTTGTTAATTCTAGTCGTTCTGAAAGAAAAATTCACTTCGACAGTCCAAACTGAATTTGTCATTTAAGTCTGTTCAAACGATAAACTTTTAATGTGTTGAATATAAAATATTCGAGCAATAAATTAATTACTGACAACGAACATCCACACGTACAATTCCTATTATTCACATATTTTAATAAAGAAGTGAAAACAATCATAAAAATTGGAATGAATATATGTGCTTAATGAATACATCGAAATATAAAAGCTGTTATTTAAAGTAAAAATAAATTACTCATTTATTCTTGAGTAATGACTTTTTAAAGCATCATTCATTTAAATATTTATGCTAAAATTATTCAGTAAAAATATTTAGTAATTTTGACAACAAATAAAATGTGCTAATATTCGGCATTACTATATTATGAACTCCTTTTTTAAAATATATATCATAAAAAATATATTATATTTTAGCTGAAATTCTTGAATTAAGAGTACATGGATATTTACATATATAAGAGTTTGTGAATTTTTGACTTCAAATTCACTTAGAAGTTTATTTTGGATTATTGACAGAAGTAACTAAGGTTTTTTTGCCTTCTTTGCTATTAGATGTAAAAATAATACTTTCGACGGAAACCTCAAGTTTCATCTGCATCAGCTTACTTTGCTGTACAGCATTTTCTTTCTGTAATTTATTCCTTTACGCAAAGACTTTGAAAAATTTAAATATTCAAAAAAAAATTTGTTAGTTTTATGAGCAAGATAACTTTTCATCTATTTATTTGATAAATTTGTAATTCAAAGTTTGGTGGGTTTATACAACACTGAAAATAGTTGGAGCAATTCTGATCACTTTTTGTTTGTAACGCTCGTCTTGTGTAAGTAATTGATGATGATCGCTGTGTTTTTTGCTTTTGATCAAAATAATAATTATGTTCTATCCATTATCTTACCTTGAATGTTAATTATCAATAAATAATGATTCCGTTTGCATTTTTTTGATGCTCAAACATATCATTGACATTTTATACAAACTAAAAAAATCAAATCAGAAAATGTACACTAAAAATGGCAAAAGGTTTAGAGTTCTGTAATTTTTGTAAAGTTACGTAGTCTTCTTACCCAAAGTGGAAATAGTGAATTAGACAGTAGAAAACCAAAAACTTGTACTCATGATTGTGTATAGTACAAAGAAGAATTAGCTTTCAGATGGCAGTTTAAAACTCATGCTATAGATGTCAATTTGATTAGCATGGCTGAATCAGGTGATGAAGATGAGTCAAAAGACACTGAATGTAAATCAAAAGAAGAAAAAAATGCACAAACTCCTCCCAAAACTACTACAAGTACTGAATTAAAGACCGATGTGACAGAGGAGAAAACAGATGAAGTTAATCAGGGGAATGTTCAGGATATCAAATCAGAAAAGTTGAAACCGCCGTTAGACACGTCAAAAATGAAGACTGATTTGAAATACCCGACTTCAAAATTAAAAACTCAAGTAACGGTTCCAGCACCTGCACCTATAAAATCTATTGAAGAAAACGCAAAAGAAGTGCAAGTTTCTTTAGATAGGTTTACAGAAACCGAAACAACTGAGGTTAGAAGTGTCAGAAAAATGCTAAAAAAAGAGAGGAAAGTCATGGAGAGACAGCAGAAAGCTCTGAAATCAAAGAGGCACAAAAAAGCAGCGGATGTGGAGAACAACCAAGCTCACGTTCAACGGGTTCTACATGAAAATTTTCTCAAAAAGCACATTAACATTCTGGATGGAGACGGTAAATTTAGTGAAATTAGTGATACGCCTTGATTAATGCTTTCTTTTCGTATTATTACAACGGATTACAAAAAAGTATCTTTGAGATATCGAATATGATGCAGTGGAGCTTACAAAGATTATCAATGACGTTAAAATGATAATCATGAAAGAGCCATCACTACTTGAAGTCCCCATTCCATGCGTAATTGTTGGCGACATACACGGACAGGTTACATTCTTTGATGACCTCTCAAAAATGCATGCGTACTGCTTTTATTAATATTATAAATTTTATGTCTTTATCGCAACCACTTATTTCCATAAATTAGTTAGCTTAATGAACACACTGCAGTACGATGATCTCCAGCGCATATTTATGATAACTGGTAAAAATAATCGAAGTGGTGCCACATTACGTCGCTACGTATTTCTTGGTGACTACGTCGATCGTGGCCCAAATTCATTGGAGTGCATTTGCTGCTTATTTGCTCATAAGCTAATTTTCCCAAAAATGGTTCTAAATTAATTTTGTCAATGATATTTTGTTGATAGCTAGCCTTAAAATTAAGCAGCTTTAGAATAATAACAGTTTCCTAGGAATCGTAATGCTAGATTATGAATGTTTGTTTGTTTGCTTTGGTTTTCATATAATTATGGACGCCATCAAATATTGCATAAAATGCAGCTTACGGTAATGATAAATTTGCATATCAAAAGTTTCTATTTTCTCACTCGAGTTTCCAAAGGGCTGTTTAGTACCTTGTTACAAAAATTGGCAGAAAATTTGACTCGAAGAAGTGTTTTGGGATATTTAAGTGATACTTAACATTTTAGATGATATTCTTACTGTATTCAATCAGTTTCATAAATAATTAGCTCATTACATCAGCTTAATTTTCGTTATCTTTAAAGTACAGTAATTAGTTTTTCAACAAAGCAATAATAATTTTTTGTTAAAAAGCTTGCAATAATTGAAGTTCAATTTGCTGCGTGGTAACCATGAATCAGCATTCATCAACCGTAATTATGGCTTTTATCAAGAGTTAGTGGATCGTTTTGAAGAAGAAATGGGAAGCAGATTATGGTGCTTGTTCAATGATGTTTTCGATTTGTTACCGCTTGCTGCACTTGTTCATAAACGAATTTTATGCATGCATGGTGGCCTTAGTCCACATCTGAATTCTCTGGATGACATAAGAAAGGTCATTAGCCACGACCATGGGCATTTTTTAATCATTTTTATTTGATTATATATATTAACAAAGCTAATTGTAAAATATTTGCCATTCTTAAAAAATTTTATTAAGGAACAACTGTCTTTTCCGAACCTACCCTTTTTAATTCTTTGTGGTAGATAAACAAGTTATTATAATTACTAAAATGCAAAAGCACCTGTGGCTAACACCTCAAATGAACTGGTACAGTTATGAATGAAAGTGAAATTAACCATGGTACAATAACTACAAAATTATTGAGATTAACTTCAAAATTCTGCAATTAGAAGAGTTTAGTCAAAATTTGAGCGCAATTGGTTTTCCATAGATTTTTTGTCAGATAAATGTAAATTAGTTGCTACATAATTTTGATTTCCGTGACAACTAGGCTGAAAAAATTCAACTTTTTTAGAATTGCCACCTATTATTTTGTTGTAAATGAAATAAATTATAGATAATTCGGCCAATCAAAACAATGGAAGAGTCACCTTTGGCATGTGATTTATTATGGTCAGATCCGGTAGTCAGTCTGTCTGGTTTTGTAAAGAATATTGTCCGTGGTATCAGTGTATGTTTTGGTGAAGATTCTGTGTTAAAAGCATGTGAGAAATTAAATCTTGACCTGATAGTTCGTGCTCATCAGGTCAGTGGTCAGTTCAATTTGCTCATAAACTGTTTCATTTTATCATAAATCAACACGATTACTAATTTCCTATATAAATGAATTATTTTGACACTGAGATTCTTATGATGAACTAAATGAAAGCTACTGCAAACAAAGCAAATTTTGTATTCACAGCAGTGCAAAAACTTGGATGAGAAGATAAAAAAGAACTAGGAAACTATTTGAAGGCAAAGAAAGTGAAAAATTGAAAAGATTTTGGATAGATAACTGAGATATGCTAAGGATATTGTGGACAGTAATGAAGACAGGAATAAATATGGCTTTTAATAGCACACTCATATTATGCCCTTACTTAACTTGTGGTCAAGATGAATACAGCCTGATTATGTGCTATTGCAGATGATGATAAATGGATTCAGCTTTTTTTGTAAACGTAAAATGGTGACCGTTTTCTCAGCTCCACGTTATGACGCTGAGAAGGTAAAACTTTAGTAAAAAGTTTGCTTTTCTGAATTTTGTTGTCAGTTCTGAATGAATTCTAAAACTTAAAAACGTTTGTTTTTGAGACGCTGAAATTAAATTTTTTTGAAAGTAATTTCTAGAACAACAAAGGAGCCGTAATGGTCATTGATAAGAACATGAAAGCGGGCTTTTTACTGCTTCATCCTGTTACTGCAGATGGCAAAGGTGAGTACAGAGTGCTTGCATTCGTTAGACATGAAACTTTACTAACTAGCAAACACTGACCAAGACTAGTTTCATTTTCAGTTAGCAAACGCAAAGTTTCATAAATGCACATCTGAATGTTTGATTCGCACAGCTTAAAAATTTTTTACTAATTTGAATGCTTGAATATCAAGTTACCTAAATTGAGAAAATTCGATATTAGCGATTAGTAAATTAGATTAGTCTAAGAGAAAAACAGCGTACCTCTCTAATTCAAATTCTTTTAGCATTTCATTTTTGTATGAAATTAAATTTTTTTACTGCAAATATATTAAATCTATGCAGTTTGACAGCCAAATTTGATAATAAAAACTTAGGTGTCCAATCGTTTATCAAGTCTTACACACGTATGAGCTCAGAACCTTGCTATACTGCAAAGGAAATCCTTTCTGATGAAAAAAAAATTACAACATATGACCCAACAGAAGTTTACGATGCACAAAAGATGAAAAGTATAGCGAATAGGTAATTTCTTGCATATTACGTTGCGAATTTTAAACAGTAAATGCATTATCGTAAAATTCAAGTAATGTAAGGCAAATGATTTCTGGAGTGAAAGTATACAGTTTAACAGCTATTTTTAATTTTAAATAAAGTGAGAGTAACAGCCTTAGGCAATTATATGTCTTTTGAATTTGTATTTATTTTAACTTTGTGTTTTTTGGTTAAGTTTCCTTTATATTTTTTTCATGTGTGATTGCCTAAGGCTCATGTTGAGGCCTACTAGTGCTAGTATAGTTTTGGCTGGTGTTTAACAGCTATTTTTAATTTTAAATAAAGTGAGTAACAAATATGCAAAAGGTGAATATTACTGATTTTAGGAGGGAAAAGAAAGTTCAAATCAGAAAGAAAAGGAAGAGTTCACGAAGTGTTTCAAGGAGTGTGCAATTAAATCATTCAGTATCAAAATAAATGCAGTGTTATTTAATATAATAAAATGTTTGCATCAGAAGACAATTTCAGAGCTTCAATAGTGAGCATCTTATGATTACAAAGCTTTCTTTCTTATTTCGTAGTTAGCATTAAGAATCTAACTCGTTGCGACTTGAAAGCAAGCAACCATGGATAGTTCCAAAAAGCAGTTCTAACCTATCACCAGCACGAATGTTTTTTATTACCAACACTTCAACTTATCTTAAGCTATATAACAAGTACACGCACGCAAAACACAAGAAACATAGAATGAGTTACGTGTGAACACCGAAAATATGCATATAAAACACATCAAATACAGATGCTAGACACTTATAAAGGACACACGTTTAATTTGAAAACAACGTAAGTGCAATAAAGATTAAAAGTTAATTACACTTCAATTAATGCAAATTTTATAATTTCAATTTTTTCAATTTCTCTTCAATGCTCATCCAAAACAAAATTATATCTTTCTCTTGACATCCATAATTTTCTTTGACGTAAAAAAAGAATCCTCCCGCAACTTTATCCAGTCTTCTCCTCATTCACGAGAAAAGAAAGGTTACAATTTTCTGCCATTTCTTCTCAGAAAAGTTTTCATACTTCGCCGTCTTGCATTTACTGAATTTTATTTCATACGCGTTTGTCCATACGTCACAACTTTTGTCAGACACAAATAATTTTTTTTTCCACAAAACAAATTTTTGGTAAGTTACGTAGACAGAAGTAATGTGCAGTTGGAGCAGAAATTCTGAAATTTGGCATTCCTTAAGACTATGTCAGTGGTTCTAATATAAAAGAAAGTATTTTTCTGATAAATTGACAGGAAGTATATTTGAACTGATAATGAAGTTATTTTTACAAATATTCACGTGTGTGGTGCTCAAATGCGTGAAAATTCAACAAAGCACATAAGAAATGTCTTCTGAACTTTGTCTAATGCAACGAATTTGGGAATTTGTTATTCTTTTATTGTCAAATAATGGGAATGTGCTACTTGCGAATACCTCTGCTGCATTTGCGAACAAAAATTGCGAATGGAAATGCTAAAACTTTTCAGAAAGAAATTAATCGCATTGCTTCACAAAAATCGCATAAAATTTTGTTTATTGAAAATTGATGACTTTTTGTATGCAAAAATATTTTCAATATTTGACTTCACAATTAATGAATGACAAATTATTTTCTTAAAATGGCTGAAGTCTTTCTGATCGTTTAATATTCCTTCTGCTTGACATCCCAGCACGACTTCACAATGCATAAAGTCACTTGAAAGACTGAGACTTTTATTTTCATCTTTATACAATTTTTTATTCATAAAAACGCTTGAACATTTAAGTTTTTTCAAAAACAAGTTTCATTTTTCGTTTTTGTTTGAGATAAAGTAGCGATAATCTGCAATTTTTCATTTATCAAAAACAATTGTCATAGTAACAAAAAAATTATTTGAGCGATTATTATAGTACAAAATATGGTAGTAATAATAACAATAATAATGTTAACAATAATAATAACAATAATAATATTGCTAAAAAAATAATGATAACATTAATAATAGTAACAATCAGTGCCTGAAAATTGAAAAACAAATATAGAACAAATTTTAATCAACTTGCTCCAATTTTTTATTTTTTTTCTTCTGAAACTCTGACTTTAGCAGAATTTTTTCTGGCATGAGAAATGCTTGCTAACTTATTCTTTAGCTATTATACCCTTTTTGCTTCATTTCCAAAATATTTTAAAGTTTTTAAGTATTAATAATTCTTTAGGTTTGAAATCGTCATAAAATGACTACTCGAGAAGAGATTATTTGAGTAAAAAACTAAAAATTATTTAAACTTTTTGAGCAATTTTTATTCAGCTGTGGCATTTGAATAGAAAATAGCTTTCTGTAATTCGCTTTTTCCATGAAATTTGTCGATTCTGTTCTGCTTTACCCAACAATGTATGAGCTATCCATTACAGTTCATCTACTGAACTACATTTCATCTTTGCACACTTTCCAATTTTTAGCTTCATGAAATGTTTAGAATTTGTCTCATTCGTTCTTTTCTTAGCATTTTTTGGGATATTTTTCGCAGGCTCATTTTTACTATAGTTTACGAAAGTATCTGCAAAAAATAGCAAAAATGTTAAACTATTTTTAGCTTTGGCATTATTTTTGAAAAAACTTAAAATTTTCAAAAAATCGTTGAAAATTACTTTAGTTACTTCAGATCGGTTTGAAAGTAAGCAGAATATAACCTTAAGCAATGAATACAATTTAAATTTTAATAAATTTCTTCCAACGAATAACATTATTTTATGAAATAAAAATTATCAGTACACACTGTACTGTACACGATGTCTGAACTACTGTACAGTCAGCTTATTTGTTTATTTTCTGAATAAACTAATCTAAAAGAATTTGTTTACCTTATATGGAGCTGATCATTGCTAGACTTTCTGATGTTTTTCAAAAAGTAAATCTTCTGATTGGCTTCCTAAATTTTGTTATTGATATAGCTAATGCTAACCGCCTTTTCAAATTTCTTACTTTGATTTTCTGCTACGAAATGAAAGTAATTTGCATATTTTGTTGAGCAAAACAAATCAAATACTATTCGAAATCAAGCCAATTTTACTTATAATTATTTCTTGAGAATTACTGTTAAAATCAAATTTTGTACCAAATTTTTCTAATTTTCGAGTAAATATTTTTTATCAACCAGGAGTAATTGATTGCGAATATTATGGAACCACCATACAAGTCATTGGTATCACTATTACTGGTATTTCAAACTATGAAAGTAATATCTACTGTACCAATAATTATTACCATGAAAAAATATGCAGTCAATTTTTTTCTTTTCTTACCTTATGTGTTCACATCATTACTAGCAATGCTGTATCAAATTTCATGGTTTTTCTACGGACTTGTCACAATTACGATTACCACAGAGTAAAAGCTCAATTTGTCAGTAAATATTCACTTTACGATCGTTTGAGGTCATTTCGGTCATTCGTTTATCAATTAATTAACAACGGCTACTTCTCAAGAAAATACAATCTATAACATACCATTGCCCACTCCTTGTTTGCATTTCAAGTGGATAAATTAAGAGCTTATACGATATAAACTGGAAATGAGAAGCTGTGGCATGCAAAATTCAACTATTTCACTTTTTATTTATGGTGCAGTAAGATAAAAAGTAAGATTGCATTAAAAATTATTACAAAATCACTGGATAACTTTTAATCTTTTAAAATTAAAATTGCATAATTAGTTGATTTCAGACTTGTTTCAATAAACACTGCACTAAATTTGGCTATATTAGCTTGAGCAGCACAAAAAATCACAATAAGTTGTTTTTATTTATTTGTGCTAAATAGCACAAATTTTCAGTTATCATTTGTTGAGCAAATACTACATACACTAGTTGTGTGCAAAACTGGTCTTTAGCAGTATTTTGTTAATGCCTGCAAACTTTTTTCCGGCCTATTTTGGCCTCACTCTGTTCTTTGATACTAATTTTTCTAGGCTGAAATATAGTCAATCAAGAATATATTCTACATTTCATTTCTTGGCTTTCCTTTATCTTAATCTGCACATTTCAGAGCAATCTTTTGCTTACAACATTTTTGTTGTGAACAAAATCTATTTATTTTTTAAAGTTTTCTAACACAGTCATTTTTTTTTCTTAATTTGAATTAAACTTTTACTCATTTTTATTCAAAAATATCTGACGATAATATTCAATTTTGATCTTATCAATTATTTAAGTACTATTCCAAAATTTGGCTAAAAATATAATTGCGTTAAAGAAATATTTTATCTTCTTTATCACTGCTGCAGGATGTTTTTTCAGAAT